CTAAGTTATCACTCCCATACCCCCCCCCACCCCCCAAAAAAGAGTAAGTACATGTGCCCATATGACCTGCAATGGCTTAGGTAGACTGCAGTTTTATGATAATGACATTGCACAGCACATAGCTTGATTTTAAAGATTGTCACCATGGCAATTGCTGGCTTTCTACTCAATATCCATTCTCCTTATTCCTTACTTACAGAATCCTAATAATGTGCATAAAAGAAAACATATCAAGCTAAAAATGTCCATTTACCAGTTTCCCTTGTAGTTAGAAAAAACTTGTAGTATGGAGCTAAAGCAGAACTTACAGAGAAAGTATAGAACAGTGATTCCCAAAGTGGGCGCTACCGCCCCCCGGTGGGCGCTGCAGCGATCCAGGGGGGGCGGTGATGGCCACAGGTGCATTTGGGGGGCGATGAGTAACTGCTATTAACATTTAAAAAAAATTAATTTCCAGGGGCTGAGTAATATTTTTTCTGGAAAGGGGGCGGTAGGCCAAATAAGTTTGGGAACCACTGGTATAGAACTAACTGCCTATATTAGGAAAAAATGGTCTCAATTAATTCCCTGTTTCCATATTACATTTTTTAAAAGTACCTACATAGAATAAGAAAATAAAATTAAACCCAACTACACAGAAGGAAAAAGAGAAAAGACGGAAATCAACCAATGACCTAGTAAACAAGAAAAATTCAATGAAACAAAAAGCTTTTAAATTAATAAAATTGTCAGGGAAAAAACAAGCCACAAATTACTATAACAGGATTGAGAGAGGACCCATCACAACAGACACTGCAGTCATTAAAGGAATTAAAAGGAAATATAATAAATAAATTGAAGTCAATATATCTGACACCTTTGGTAAAATGGACAAATCCTTAGAAGACACAACCTAATAAAGCTCATTAAAGAATAGATACCTAAGCAGTCCTATATCTATTAATTAAATTGAATATGTAGTTTGTAACTTCCCACAAAGAAAACTCTAGGCTCAGGTAGTTTCACTAGTGAATGTCATCAAATATTATGGAAGAAATAACATCAATTTTACATAAACTTCCAGGAAACATAATGGGAGAAACACTTCCCAATTCATTGTAAGGCCAGCATTAAGTTGATATTAAAACCAGACAAAGATATTACAAGGAAAACAAAACAATCACACAAAAAAACTACAAACAATATCTCTCACAGAGACACAAAAATTCTTGACAGAAATACATTAAAAAATAATGCATCATAACCAGGTGGGTTTTAGCAGAGTAATGAAAGGTTGGATTACCACTAAAAAACCAACCAATGGAATTCACTAAAAATAGAAATCCGTACGATCATCTCAATAGATGTGACAAATCTATGACAAAATTCCCTTATATGAAAACTCAGCAAACTAGGATTAGAAGGAAACTTCTTCAACCTGATAAAGTGTATCTACAAGAGCCCTAGCTAGTTTGGCTCATGGATAGAGCGTCTGCCTATGGATTGAAGGGTACCAGGTACAATTCTGGTCAAGGGCACATACTCGTGTTGCAGGCTCTATCCCCAGTGGGGGGCAGGCAGGAGGCAGCCTATCCATAATTCTCTCTCATCATTGGTGTTTCTATCTCTCTCTCCCTCTCCCTTCCTCTCTGAAATTATTAAAAATATATTTTTTAAAAAAGTTTCCACTCTACAAGAAACATATAGCTAGTATCAAAAAAATTTTTTTAATCCTCACCTGAGAATATATTTCCATTGATTTTTTATTTTATTTTATTTTATTTTTTTTAGAGAGAGTGGAAGAGAGAGGGAAAGACAGTGAGAAATATCAATGTAAGAGAAACACATCAATTGGCATGTGCCCAGACCAGGGCCCGGGCCAGGGAGGAGCTGCAACTGAGGTACGTGCCCTTGACTGGAATCAAACCTGGACCCTTCGGTCTGCAGGCCAATGTTCTATCCACTGAGCCAAAATGGCTAGGGCACTAGCATCAAATTTAATGGTGAAAGACAACTTCCCCCTAATACCAGAAACAGGGTCTCTTATATCTTCCTACTTTTAACTTTATGCTGGAAGTCCTAAATAAGAAAAAATAAATAAAAGGCAAGAGATTGAATAGGAAGACATAAAATAAGTCTATTTGTGGACAACATGACTATTTCTACAAAAAATTCAAAGCAATCTACAAAAAAGCTATTAGAACTAATTAATGAGTTTAGCAAGATTGCAGGCTACAAGCTCATTATATAAAAACTATAAAATATTGCTAAGAAAAATTTAAAGCTTAAATAAATGAGATATATACTATATGCCATGTTCACGGATCTGCAGGCTCAATATTGTTAGGATGTAAATTCTCTCCAAAATGATCCATAGAGCCAATGCAATTCCAATCAAAGCCCTAGTACCTTTCTTTGTAGAAAGTGACAAGCTGATTCTAAAACTTATATGCAAAAGACCTGAACAAAACAACTACAAAGATGGAGGACTTAACTATGACATTTCAAGACTTATAAAGTTACAGTAATCATTAAGACTGAAATACTGGTGTAAAGAAAGATTTATCAATCACAGGAAAGAATAGAGCCCATAAACCAAACATATATGATCAATTTTTCATAAGGGTTCAAAGGCAATTCAATGGGGAAAGGCTAACCTTTCCACAAATGATGCTGCAACAAGTGCATAGCCACGTGCAAACAACCAAAAAATCCTAACTAGACCCTACCCTAACACCATATATAAGAATTAATTCAAAGAGGATCACTGACTTAAGAGCTAAAAATATATTTTAAAAAAATTATCACATAAGACAAAAAGCATAGAATATAAAAGTTGATAAATTGGATTTCATCAGTAATTTAAAATTTGCTCTTCAAAAATCACTATTATGAAATGAATAAGTAAGTAACACACTGGGAGAAAATTATCTATAAACTCTATATATAGACTATAAAAAGAACCCTTATAGACCTGGCCAGTTGGTTGGAGCATCATCCCGTACACCAAAAGGTTGTGGGTTCAATTTCCGGTCATGGCACATACCTATATTACAGTTTCGATCCCTGGTTGGGGTGCATACAGGAGGCAACTGATTGATGTTTCTCTCTCCCTTCCCCTCTCTAAAATTAGTAAAAAACATGAGGATAAAAAAAGAAAGAACCCTTACAATTAAGATGGCATGCAACCCAATAAAAAACAAGCCAGAGACCTGAATTGACACTTCATCAAGAGATAGCAAAAAAAGCACATGAAAAGATACTCATATCAAAATTTGTCAAATTTTAATTTTTAAATGTGTTCAGTTTATTGCACAGTAATTATTAAGGCTATAAAAATTTAAATATAATAAACTTAAGGCTAATTTATCACACACACAGGAAAGCAAGCAGATGTGCCCACATGACATGCAACAGCTTGGACAGATTGCAGATAACACTATATACCATGTAAGTTGATTTTAAAGAACACTATGACGGACACTGCTAGTTTCCTATCTCTCATCCAGTCTTCTCTGCTTCCTTATTAACAGAGCCTCCGTTATGTTTGTGCAAGAAAATGTGCCCAGCTAAAATAAGCAAAACTCTTATCCGTGGCTGTTTACCTTTGTAACAGTAACAGTCAACACCCTGTTCTTCCTTAAGAGTATAGCATCTAACTGTGACCATGAGGACAAAAGCCAATAAATACTAGGGATGGAGGGGGGGAATAAAAGAGGAGGAACCTGGTTCCTTGATGACATTACAAAGTCAATCCCTAGACTGCTTGCTTCTGGACTTCTTGCTGAGAAAAGTAGATGTCTTCCTCGTTTAAGCCATTATTTGTTGATGTTTCTCTTGCACACAGTTGATCAAAATTTATAATAATCAGATAATTTAGTATAGTAAGTAGAGGCTGAGGTACAAATCATCCCTATGTATTTGTCCAATTTTTATGGTCCCACTATTTTCCATTAAGTCCCTTAATTTTTATAAGAGAGCTGGTAAGGTTGTAAATTCAATTTATGTTGAAATTCAGCAACTCACAAACTCAGGCTCTGGTTTTTTACAATATCAGCCTTATGACTGCAAAAGATAAGAACCTCTCTTAGGACAATTATAGAAACTCTGGATTTTTTAATGCCTTAAAAAAGAATTATAGGTAAGTAAAACTTCTCTTAGCAATGAAAAAAAACAAAGAAATAGTCTATAGATAAAAGTGAAACAATGTTTTAGTTCTGCTCTGTTGTGTCTGAATAATTGAGGGGAGGGGGATTCTATACCCCCGCTTTGCAAGTATCCATATAGTCTTTTATTAAATGGGTACTTTATTCTATGTGATTAGTTAAGTAACTTTCATCACTGCATGATATGGACTATTAAAGTCTTATCTTCTAAAACTAATTTTATCCTCACTGACAATCAAACCCTAACAGCTCCTACAACCAATGTGAAATTCTGATATCTTTGTAGGTCTATGATTTCCAATTAATATTTAGACCAATTATCAAATAGATCTGCCTAATAATAGCATATTATAGAAAATAAGTATAGAAGTAATCTCAAGGTGGGCTAGAGAGACAGGTCCTAAAACTATATAATTAGTAATAATGACCACCTATACCAGGAGAGTTTTCTAGCAAAAATACCATTATTTTTTTTTACTGCTGCTTAGACCTGGCAATGCTGCCTTTGAAAGAAGTGGATTACTCCACCATCGGGGCTTGCTAAATCAGTTCCCCTCCTCACTGCTACATATTCACATTGCTTACTTCTAAATCCAGGTCTTAGGTCACATGCCTGTATCCTAACTGCAAGGGAGACTGGGAGTATGAATCGTATGATTTTACTGAGAAGACAGAATCCGCATGTGGGAAATTATCAAAATATAAGAAGGGCATCTAAGATGTTGTAGAGCCACAAATTATAACTGTCCAATACTTACATTAATATCTTTAAGATCTTAACCTCAAACATTTTACACAAGACATCTATATACAATTACATTTAATTGCCCATTATCACTTCTTATTCATACTTACTGAACGGGCACATTTTTTGGGGGGACTGCTAGAAAGTCCATCCAGTTGCCCATGTTCACCCAGAAATCCCGTCACTTGGTCCAAGAAAGAAGATACGTCTAACTGGTGCCACTCTACTAGCTTCTGACCTAAAAATTAAAAAACGTCATATATAAATATAATAAAATCAACATGCCTTCTCAACATTCTCATTAAGTATTTTTTTGGCATTTGCATAATTAAAATTTTAGGAACACATATTCCCACTGTTAGGACTCAGGGCAATATAGTCCTTAATGGCCATTTGTAAGCTTCCTGCCACAGGAAAACAAAGACCAAGAACTTGTCCAAGCTTCCCGCCTCAGGAGGACAAAGACCAGGAAAATTTGCTGGACACCAGGAATCAGACTATACAAGGAATTAAAACTGTCCTAAAAACGCCTGATTGCATATCCACATTCCAAGCCCACCAACTCAGCCCACACACACTGACGACAAGAGCTTCCCACCAGTGACTGCATGTAACGATGAAACTCCAGCTCCTGGGGCAGACATCATCACCCACTATCTCCTTGGCTCAGTGCTATGCGGCCCTTCCCTTTGGATATCCCTTCCCTCACCCCTTTTCTTAAATAAATTCAATTTTTCTTTATCCACCATCTGAGATGGCTACTTAGCCTGCCCAAGTACCACCACGTTAACCTTTCACCCACCCTTCACCAGTTTAAATTACATAGCGTTTTCATAACCCAAAGAATTCATCAATTATAGCCAACCTAAGATTCCTAGCCAACTGGCAACTTCTTTATCTGCTAATATCATTTATTGGCATTTAGAAAGAAGAGATTCAAACGAAGCAAAATCTTGGTAAAAATTCATTAATAATAAAACCAGTTCTACCCTCTGTTTCTCTGGTGGGATTACAACCAGTACCTGAACAATCTTAATATTTTAATAACAGAAAACCCAAGGGGACCCCTTAAAATATGACAAGATAAAATATTAGTTTTAGAAAGTACAGAGCTGCACAAATATAAAATACAATCATTTCCCCAAATTGTCAGAAACAGACTGACTCCCTAACATATTTTAATAGATGTTTAAATAATTCTAAAGGACATGAATAAAAACCCTTCACCTAAATTATTACAAAGAATTCTGAAACTGAATCCAGTCAAATATTAAAGATCAAATATTTAGGTAATTGAAAAATAAGTCATATGTCAATTGCTGTAAGCTGATATAAAATAAATATTACCTGTCCGTGGATCCAAGATGGAAACATAGGGGAAATCCCCTAGCTTATAAAATTGTATGTATCTCTGACCTTCCTCACTGTCATGATAAACCTGTTAAATCATTGATATAAAAAAAAGTCAACCTCTAAAAAAGTATCAACTGTATCCTTGTTATATACCAACAACAATTCTCCAAATACACCTTTAGTATATGTTAGGATTCATTCCTACATTAAAGAGAAAAATGAAGGTAATCTGGTGTGAACTACCTCAACTTCCTGTCCTCAGCCCCCATGGAAACATATATCAATCCATTTTTCCTCCCTTTCCAGTTCAGAAGAGATATTGCTCTTTCTGATCAAGTTATCTGTCCACCTATATTATTCCAAACTCTATCATATACATCTTAATAAGTCACTACATATTGAGATGATAAGCTTGAGTGGCTAGCATAGTGCTAGTCAAAGAGATGCTCAACCAATAGTTGCGGAAGAGCCCAGCTTGTGTGGCTCGGCAGTTGAGTGTTGACCCAGAACCAACAGATCACTGATTCAATTACCCCATAGGGCACATGCCCGGTTGTGGGCTCTATCCCCAGTAGGGAGTGTGCAGGAGGCAGCCAAACGATGATGCTCCTCTCTCATTGATGTTTCTATCTCTCTACCCCTCTCCCTTCCACTCTCTCTCTTTAAAAAAAAAAAATCAATAAAAACATATTTAAAAAAATAGTTGTAGAAGAAAAGTTTACCATTCAGAAAAAATACTGAATTTAGGGGACCTGTAAAACATGAATGAGCCGAAACCGGTTTGGCTCAGTGGATAGAGCGTTGGCCTGCGGACTGAAGGGTCCCGGGTTCGATTCTGGTCAAGGGCATGTACCTTGGTTGCGGGCACATCCCCAGTGGGAGATGTGCAGGAGGCAGCTGATCGATGTTTCTCTCTCATCGATGTTTCTAACTCTCTATCCCTCTCCCTTCCTCTCTGTAAAAAATCAATAAAATACATTAAAAAAATGAATGAATAAATTAATAACATTAACAGCATATCTTATAGTGGAAAAAATTAAGTTCATTCAGATGTTTTTATTTTCTATAATTTTTCATAAAAAAATTAAAAATTTGAACAAGATTATCTAACCTTAGCTTGATAATTTACATAAAAAGAAAACAGAATCAGCAAGATTAAGTGACAATACTAAGAAATATACATAAAAAGTATAAAACTCAAGCTAAAATCCAAATCTTAGTCAAATGTTTTTCCATTACTCAAGATCTTCTACATTCACACTGTCAATTATAACAACCAATACATGTGTTATTGAAGTACTTGAAACATGGCTGGTCTGAACTGAGAGGTTCCGTACGTATAAAATATACACACATCACATCTTGGAGACTTCACACATACACACACAAAAATCAAAACATCTCATTAAGATTTTAATATTAGTTTGATATTAGATATATTGATTTTAAAACATTAAAATTAATTTCACCTGTTTCTTTTGACCTTTTAAAATGTGGCTACTAGAGCATTTTTAATTAAATATGTGGCTCACATTATATTCCTAGTAGAGGCCTGATGCACAAGATTCATGCACTGGGGCTTGCTAAATCAGTTCCCCCCTCACTGCTACATATTCACATTGTTTACTTCTAAACCCAGGTTTTAGGTCACATGCCTGTATCCTAACTGCAAGGGAGACTGGGACCCCTGCCGGCAGTCAGACATCCCTCTCGCAGTTCGGGTCTCTAGCAGTCTGGGACCCCTTGCTCCTTACCTCCTGCCACTGCCACTGCCACTGCGCTCGCCAGCGGTGAGCCCGGCTTCTGGCTAAGTGGCGCTCCCCATGAGAGCGCACTGACCACCAGGGGGCAGCTCCTGAATTGAGCATCTGGCCCCTGGTGGTCAGTGCACGTCATAGTGACCAGTCGATTTGCATATTAGGGTTTTATTATATAGAACTAGAGACCCAGTGCACGAAATTCGTGTACTCGGGGGCGGGGTCCCTCAGCCTGGTCTGCAGCCCTCTTGCGCCCTCTTCAAGCCCTTGGGGGATGTCCAACTGAAGGCAGAGGCTCCCGCCACCGCCACTGCACTCGCCAGCCGTGAGCCCGGCTTCTGGTTGAGAGGCGCTCCCCCTGTGGGAGTGCACTGACCACCAAGGGGCAGCTCCTGCATTGAGCGTCTGTCCCTTGGTGGTCAGTGCACGTCATAGCAACCGGTTGCTCCACCATTCAGTCAATTGCATATTAGCCTTTTATTATACAGGATTGAATAGTACAGTTGTGAACTCTATCAAGATATTTAAGCTCATCTGAGATATGAATATTATATAGTTACGCAGCTTGGTTCTTTCTTTCCTTCCCTCGAGAGTTCTTCATTGCTGCCCTAATTTTCACTTGTCCTTACTATTTCAGCAATTATGGGTGGTTTTACCTTTTCATATATCATAATTTAACTCAGTTATTAAAATTTTTCCAGTTTATTACTGAATTCCTCCTTCTCAACATCCCATACTACAAAAGTAAAATGCTACTAAAACTTTAACTCTCCTCACCTGCCAGAAAATGAAATGTTCCCGGATAATATTCTTCACAGCATCATTGCTCCATACATCACGGTTGAGGCACTGGCATGCAAAGTCTTGTACATTTTGGATGTTTATCATCAGCCACTTATTTTGCATCTGCCCACACTCTTTGGCCTATAAGAGTAAAGTTACACAACACCTGTTAGAAATAATTTCTCCTTGGTAACTGATATGTTTCAGAGTTCAGAAACTGTTATCTTTTCATTTAAATACTAAGTTTTTCCCCTCAAGTATAACATCTAGAGTTTTTGGTATATATACATTATTTACATTAATTTGCATAGATATATATAATTATACTGACCATTTTCAAGCATTTTTCAAATTTAAATAAACTGTTATTGTTATAATGGCTGGACTTTTGTACATTTAAACATCTGAAAAAAATTATACAAACTTATGGTCAAGTCACATAATTCTATCACATTATCTCTCTCAACCCCTATTAGGCATGTACTATTTTATAGGATCACCCTAAATATTTCTGTAAAAGCTGCTAAGGGTTTTTTCTCTTAGGGTTGTTTTCCTAGGAGATTTCAAAAAATGAGATTATAGGATCAAAGAATGTTTCAGAATGATTTTTAAAAGACCCCCCCCCCAATTTATAGCACAAATATTAATCATGAGTATGTACTTTTTGCCTAATAGTTTGTCATCACCATAAAAACCTAAAAAGTTGCTGAATACAAAGATTGGCAGAAAAGCAAATGAGCAAACAAATGCTTCCTTAAACCTTTGTATAGGAACAATGAAATGAAAGTGATAGTTTTGAGTAATTTTGTCTTGGAACAATATTATTTCCCATACCAGATTAACACAGATCTTCAATTAACTCAGGTCGTTAACAGTTGAAAAACATACATCATTTTGGAGGTATTGGACAATGTAAGACTATCTTCTGCTTTAAGAAGGTTTACACAGTCTTACAGATAACTGTTATCCTATTTTTTGGTATGAATCCTCCAGAAAAAAATCATTTTCTAATATTTAATTTTGATTCCACAGGTGAAAACTCAAGTTCAAAAAGGAATCCCTGTATTGAGCCAGAAAGCTGTATTACCTGGTGAAAAGCTTATTTTAAAATATATAAACATAATAAAATTATTCCTTACTCCTAGAAAGTAAGTGTTCAACTTACTTCCTTACCTATAGCATGCACATGGATTTGATAAATGAGTGATAAATGTATACTTATATGCCTTAACTGAAGAAAAAGTATTGGAGAGGGGAAAAATTTAACACACATTTCTGTAACAGGGTAAATGTACATAAGTCTGCCTAAAACTACAACATGGAGAAGAAAAAAAAGTCAAGAGTTTAAAACTGATGGACAGTCATTTGCTTTTGATTTTAAAAGTTCATTTATTCACATTTATGCTTTAATTCAGATTCATTCATTCAACAAATAAACTTACTGATACCTATCATGTTTCAGGTATAGCTATAGATGCTGGAATTAGAGCAGTTACCAAAACACAAAAAACCCTGCCTTCATGAAGCATACACTGGGGAGAAACCTTATATTAATCAGTACAAGAAACTGAAGATGCTGTTAAGAAATTACTGCTGGAAGGAAAGGCCCAAAGACATGAATTTTATGCAAAGCAACAATGTTTAGAGGGAATATAAGAGAGTCTTACACAAATGATGAACCTTCCCTCTTGAAATCTATTAGACTGTTCAGAATCAACATTCAAAAGCCATTTTATGAAGACCCAAGGACAAGTGTGGCTACATCAAATAGAGACATATGTGATATGACTTATCTGTTTCAAGGGGGAAACAGTGAGAGAGTATCTCTACCAGTCCCAGACAGATCAGTAAAGTAAGAAGAAAAAAAGAATAGCCCTAGCTGGTTTGGCTCAGTGGATACAGCATCGACCTGCAGACTGAAGGATCCTGGATCCAATTCAAGGGCACATGCTGGGGTTGTGGGCATGATCCCAAGTGGGGGGTTGTGCAGGAGGCAGCCGATCAGTGATTCTCTCTCATCATTGATGTTTCTTTCCCTCTCCCTTCCTCTCTGAAATCAATAAAAATACATTTTAAAAAAATATAAAGGAAAAGATATTTGTTTCAATAATAGATATACATAAAGTCAAGATGAAAATATATTAAAATATGCACAGTACTTTTTAATGGAAATTGTGATTTTATTTCCCCCCCCACTGGTTTGCTATATTTGCCAACTTTGAATAAAACTAAATATAAGCTATGAATAAAGTTTATTTTTAAAAAGTTTATCTTACATATTTTGTTACTGAATTGGTTCTTTATATTTTTTGCTAAAATATTTTTACTTACAGCAGGACTTTTAAAATTAACAAAGCATTCTTAGTAATTACAACTAAGTACATGTGAATTAAATGATAACAAATAAATATGCATTTATAATGAAAATAAGGACTATTATGGAAATTATTCTGATTCTGTACCATATACTCCAGATTATGTCATTCAATCATTTAAGAAAGATTTATTGAGGGCCAATTATGTGCCAAAAGCTCTTCTAGGCATTGAATACAATGACAAATAAAACAAAGTTCCTGTGTTCATGGAACTTACAAGCTACATGTTCCCTTGCCTAGGTCAGATCATTCATCCTAAGTGGGTCACTCAGCTACAGCTATACTGATTCCTTGGCTGTACCAGAAATATACCCTTTTTAGCCTTACTATCTGCTGTTTCCCTGACATTCCTATGGTTCACATTCCTTCACTTCACTCAGGTTTCTACTCAAATCTCATCCTTCAGAATCTTCCTTGATCTTCCTATCTAAAACAGTCTTCTCTCCTCACAGTTACAAACATATGTGAAACCTATGAAATCAACCCTGCTTTTAATTTTGCTTGTTAAGTATACATGCATCTTAGTGGCTCTAAACAAACAAAAAAATTGCCCTCTCCTTCCCTTATTCTATTTTTTAAAATATTTTTTTATTGATTTCAGAGGGGAGGGGAGAGGGAGAAAGAGACAGAAACATCAATAATGAAAAGGAATCATTGATCGGTGGCCCTCCTGTACACCCCACACTAGGGATCCAGCCCGAAACCTGGGCATGTGCCCTGACTGGGAATCAACCACTGAGCCACGCCGACTGGGTCCCTTATTCTATTTTATTTTCTCCCACTACATACTATAACCTGAAATTACACCCTATCTCTCTATATTGTATATACATACGCACACACGAAACGTTTTACATATATGTATAAACATTTGATTTTTATTTGTTTATAGTCTGTTTCTCCCTCTTGATTATAAATCTTTGATGGCAAGGACTTTGTGTAATGTGCTTACCACTATCTCCCAGGGGAAGAAACTGCTTATAGGCTCCAGATATTCATTTTCTTCTAAGCACCTGGATTTCCTAGCGTCCCTTGCAGTAGGTGTAACCATATTACCAAGTTCTGGTCAATGGGATGTGAGCAACTTCTAGGTTGTGCCTTTAAAGGGAAAAGGTATACCTTTCTCAGCCCCCTCCCTCCTTCATTCTGGCTAGAAAGCAAACATGGTGGTAAGCCCCCTTGAATCATATGGACAAAGGCAAGCAAGACCTAGGAAATAGAAGAAAAAGACAAAGAAAACTTGCACTGCTAGTAACTTCACAGAGCAGAACCATCCTAATAGCCTGGACTTCTTTCTTGTTTAAGCTACTATTTGTTTCCTTCCTGGTCTCTCTCACATGCAGTAAAATCTATCCCAAAAAATATAATCCCTATTACCTAGAACAAGGCCTTACAAAAGGAGGCCTCGATAAATACTAAATGAACAAGTAAATTAATCAGTCTCTTCAGAACCTTTGAATATCGTCTACCTCTAGATACACTAAGAAAGTCTAGTTTCTAAACCTGTAAAACTATGGCTCAGAGCTACATCTAATATTGTGCCCAAACCTATGGGCCCTGCCAGAGCAACCAAAGAGAGTCCGTATAATTTTTAACATTCACCTCTCTAAACATCAATGACTTAATTTTGCATGTGACCTCCCTAATTTATATAAAACTAATAGATATATCATTAATTATAACGAAATGCCTATTTTTTCTGGGAGTGTTAATGTCATTTAAAGACTCATAAATGATAAACTTTAGTATTAGTGAAGATATGAATAGATTATTGCAAACAATGCAGGTCATGAAATACAAAGAAAAAAGGTTATGTAACTTTAAAAAAATGAGCAAAAAATCAGACAGCAATTTCAAAAAAGATTCGGTTTACTTCAATGAACAAGCATCAGAGTAACTGCTTTTTATGAGCCCAGAGTGACAAGATTAAATCAAGCACAGAGTTATTTATTAAGCCCTAGAGCAACTCAAAAGCTAATGAAAAGGAAAACATGTCAAAACAAACTCAGATCATTTTTGTCTTTCACATTGCTGCTACTCTCTCTCAGTGGCTATATTATCACCAGAACATTAGAAAGGATAGGCAGACAAGCGCCTGGAACACTAGAAAGTATAGGCAGCTGCCATGTTAAGATCATGAGGGAAGGATGAAGAAAACTGAGGAGGTATCTAACCTGACATATGTGAGCTGATAAACACCAAAGACTCCCTCAACTCTAGACTTTAGATGACAAAAAGAAATCTTCTTTTTTTTTTAATCCTCACCAGAGGATATTTTTTCCATTTATCTTCTTTTTTTTTTTTTTTTAGAGAGAGAGAGAGAGCGGAAGAGAGAGGGAAAGACAGAGAGAAATATCGATGTGAGAGAAACACATCGATTGGCTGCATTGAGGGCCCGGGCCAAGGGGGAGCCTGTAACCAAGGTATGTACCCTTGACCAGAATCAAACCCAGGACCCTTTAGTCCGAAGACACTCCATCCATTGAGCCAAACCAGCTAGGGCAAGAAACCCTTTTAAAAAAAGATGTTTTCATTGATTTCAGAGAGAGGAAGGGAGAGGGAAAGAGAGAGAGAGAGAAACATCAATGATGAGAATAATTGATTGGCTGCCTCCTGCACTGCCCCTCCCCCCCACCTCCACTTGGGGTTGAGCCTGCAGCCTAGGCATGTGTCCTGACCAGAAATCAAACCATGACCTCCTGATTCATGGGTTGACACTCAACCACTAAGCCACACCAGCTGGGCAAAAGAAACCTTTGTTTGGTCAAATCACCATCATTTGGATCTTCTGTTACATGCAGCCAAACACTTTCAGGTTTTACAACAGAAGAACAAGCTTATGGTTAAATTTCTTACCCTAAATACTTCATCTAGGCTAGTGTTAAGAGTATGTCAAGGGAAAAAATTTTTTTTAAACAATCATAATTCACTTTCAAATCTATAGCTGTAGCTACCAACATCATTTTTGTGGTTATTGTTTGGCTTACTTTATTCTAACAGGTAAGACTTAATCTTAAACCTAATTGATTTACATCAATGCAAATGCCATTTCTAATGCAAAAGAGCATTAACAAGCTACTCAATACACAAAAGCAAGCTGTTTGAACACATCAATAGAAGAATATTTAAAATCCTAACTAAATTCCGTCATTTAACAAATACCAGGTCCTATTAAATGCCAGAGACTAGGTCCCAAGACTTACCAAAATAAAACAATGCATATTCTCCCTGCCCTTATTAAGCTTATAATTCAGCAAATAATCAAATAAACTTGCTCTGGGAAGTTTTTCTTTGGCATTAACCAAGTTAAAGCCAAGAAGTAAGTCAGAATGTATTCTGCAACTACAGAGATATTCTTTTAAAATACACTGCCCTTGCTGGTTTGGCTCAGTGGATAGAGCGTCAGCCTGCAGACTGAAGGGTTGTGCAGGAGGCAGCCGATCAATGATTCTCTCTCATCATTGATGTTTCTATGTCTCTTTCCCCTCTCCCTTCCTCTCTGAAATCAATAAAAATATATATTTTTTAAAATACACTAAGAACCTCCTAGAAATGTGGGCAAAAGATACCTACAAACAATTCACAAATAGCCAACAAACACATGCACACTATTCTCAGTAGTAATCAAAGATATGTAAACTTAAAAAGTAAGATAATAAAAGAACTATCAAAATGGCATAGATTGTAAAATACCATCACACAGGGTAATAAAATGCTCTCATTAAGCAATCTCATATACTGCTGATACAAACATAAATTAATGTAACCTTTTAGGTATCTCTCATGTTATACTTATTAGGATGCCAATTCTCTATACAGTATGCTGAAAACTTTTTTTCTCTTAGAAAGAAAAAAAATGGCATTGAAAACGCAGAAGAATTCATAACTAGAGCTTAGAATTTCCAACTACTTACTGTTTCAAAGCTGCCTTTATGCATCAAATCAATGGGTGGCCGGAACAGATCTGCCAGGGTAGTTAGTTTCTTATCTATGGCTCCTCCATTTCTTAACTCTTGTTCTTGCCGAACTGAAACACAGAAGGATGAGGAAGTTTCAACTAACCATAAAAGGAACAAATCTAACAATATAAAAAACATGTATCAATTGCAAGAATTACTGAACAATGTGCTTGACCTCAAAATGCAAATATAAAATGCTAATTCTGAAAAAAATACAAAGCAAGGTAGGGAGGGAGTCTTAAAACTTAGTGGTGGCTTTCTACCAAAAGATAAGAATAAAAGCAGAAATTTATATTAGTCTCACAATCAAAATATTTCCTTCACATATTCAAAACTAACTTTAGTATAGGAGAAAACTTTCAACTCCATTTATCTAGTTCTAAAAATAATCTTAATTTACCTGTAGTTTCCAGCTATATTCCCAATCTTCAAAGTTTCTGGCAATAGCAAGAATGACCACTGCTATCACCCTCTCCTGGCAGGGTACAGGATTCCCTGGATAACCTGAGTCAGTTTGGGTTCCCCTTCAACACTCTCCAAAGTTACGAGACCTACTTGTGCTTCAATGAGCTCATTATAAATCAACTATAAAATCAAACATGGTCCAAGAATTTCTCATATATTCTCTCAAACGTAACTGTCCTTTTCTTTACAGTTCCATTGCTAAGTCAGTACTAATTCCTCTAAAAGTGTAAAGTCAAGATTCTCATTCTAACTTACTCCACAGAAATATATAAACCTATTTTAAACAACTGTAGCCAAAATGTTAATACTGGCTGCTTTGGGTGTGGCTTTTTCTTCTATTTTTCAATTCCCCATTGTGTTCATTGACAGATACTAGAATCTTGAGGGTAATCAGTTTTTTACTTTATTATAGTCAGTATTTGAGTGCTTATTCAAAAGCTCATTAAGTTTGTAAATTACCTAAATTTTTACATTATCTCCATCTTTCTTATTCTTCTTCCATCACCAAGTAGTTTAAAATTTAAAACAAATCAGTTCTGGAGAAACAATCACAGACTGAATTCATAATTTTACTTTTAAAATAAGGTGATTCTTCAAAGTAATTAGACCTCATATTAATCATCTTTTTCTTTTTAAGAAAAAGTACATAGACTAGCCAGTTTGGCTCAGTGGATAAAGTGTCAGCCTGCGAACTGAAGGGTCCTGGGTTCGATTCCAATCAAGGGCACATGCCTGGGTTGTGGGCTCAATCCCCAGTAGGGGGTGAGCAGGAGGCAGCCAATCAATGATTCTCTCTCATCATTGATGTTTTTTTTCATCTCTCTCTCCCTAAAATTAAAAAAAAAAAAAAAGTATATAAATGAAACTAAGAACTTGACCTGTTAGGGAGTGTATAGGAACTTTTCCACATTGTGGTTTTATGCGTGGGAGAGGGAAAAGGAAAGGAGGGGAAGACAAGGAGAGAGACAGACAGAGAGAGGATAAACTGATTCATAGATACCTACTAGTTTCAGTTTGAAAATCCCGAAAACCATCAAATATTGAACGTGCAGGCCGCCGTCTTTTAGGAGCTTTAAGGGTAAAAATAGAATTATACAAAAATTTAAACATTAATTTTGAAACAATTCTAAAAACTTCCTTATCTATACATATTTGTTTAAAACACTCATAGATTCATAATGGTGTCCCCCTTCAAAAAAACTGAAGTGTTTTAAAAACCTTCAAATAATTCATACAGAATTAACTCAACCATCTTCAGCCCAATGATTTTGTTTTACAAATGAGAAAATTAAGGCCCTGTTAAAGAGACTTGACCAAACCTGTGTAAAAGACAAAATGAAGATTTTGCGGATGACTCCCATGGAAATGAAGTTGCAAATGTTGCCAATATCTAATTCAGGTTAGCCTAAGGCAGTGATTTTCAACCAGTGTGTCACAAGAATTTTTAAAACATGCAATGCCTGACTATTTAGTGAGGGGCACTAACCTCTCTTCCCTTAGATTGTCAAATGATAACAATAGCCCTAGCCGGTTTTGCTCAGCTATTCGAGTGTTGGACCTTGGACTGAAGGATCTCAGGTTTGATTCCAAGCAGGGGCATGTACCTCGGTTGCAGGCTTGACCCCAGCACTGGTCGGGGCGTATGTGGGAGGTAACCGATCTATGTGTCTCTCTCTCATCCATGTTTTTTTTTCTCTCTCTGTCTCTCCCCGTTCCTTCCACTCTCTCTAAAAAATATTAAAAATTAAAAAAAAAAATCAATGGGAAAAATATCCTAGGGTGAAAATTACAAAAAAAAAAAAAAAAAAAAAAAAAAAAGACAATAGCCCACCTGGTATGGCTCAGTGGTTGAGTGTCAATCTATGAACCAGGAGGTCACAATTCGAATTCCCATCAGGACACATGCTCGATCCCCAGTAGGGGGCATGCAGGAGGCAGCCAATCAATGATTCTTTCTCATCACTGATGTTTCTATCTCTACCTCTCCCTTCCTTTCTAAAATCAGTAAAAATATATTTAAAACAAAAAAATGACAACAGCCAACACAACAAGAGCCATCCAGTGTGAATCAAACTACACTTATTTTTTTGTCAGATCGGCAAAAAATGTATTTTTTGGCGCACCACAGAATTTTAGTAATCAGTTTATGTGTGCCATGAGATAAACAAGGTTGAAAATTGCTGACCTAAGGGATCTGACTACCCTTTGGTATAACACTTGAGTAACTAAGTTCTAAATAATAATACTTGAAAACTACTTAGTAAATGGGTATACATGTAAAATTATAAATACCAAAAAACATTTAATTTTGGAAGAAAATTTTTTCCCTGCAGTTACACAATGATTTAGTAACAGAAAAGCAAGTAGAACCATCTTCTGATACCTCTGTATTTTACAGGTGAAGTCTAAAAAGCAATAGTCAAAATGTTATCTTCCTATATGTGTCCTCAAACCTAAAAAAATATTTGCCAGATCATTTGTATACATTACAATAAATAAGGACATTTAATGACTCTCTCAATATGGGTAATAGTCATTGTTGGCTTATCGCATTCCTGGCCAACATGTAACCAGAACAATGTTCCATGTTAATTAATGGTGATTAGTAGTAAGACTAGATAGAAAGTATAAAAGTTCCCTATCCCATGTCAAAGCTTCTTTCCCAACAACCTGTGTTTGCTATCATATGGGATAATTCTTTCTATCTAAGAACTATTAAGAAATAAACAAACAAACAAACAAAACAAAAATACAGAACCACACATTAAAAATCTCATTTTCCTTTAAAGCATTATCAGGCTGTATATCATTATGCACATACATATATCAGTATTTATATTTAAAAAGCACCATATCTCGCCCTAGCCAGTTTGGCTCAGTGGATAGTTAGTCTGTGGGCCAAAGGGTCAAGGACACATACCTTGGTTGCAGGGTCCTCCCTGATCAGGGCCCTGGTCGGAGCACGTGCAGGAGGCAACCAATCGATGTGTTTCTCTCACATAGATGTTTCTCTCTGTCTTTCCCTCTCTCTTACAAAAAAAAAAAAAAAAAAATCAATATCCTCAGGTGAGGATTAACAAAACAAAACAAAAAAAAACACAATATCTCTAGCAAAGGGATTTGGTTAAAAAAAAAAAAAGAAACTTTCATGTTTTAGTTTTATATTGAATTTTTTAATTTAAATTGAATTTTAGTTGTATTACATTTATTTAAATTGAATTTTAAAAAATTTAAATATTGCATTATTTTTCCCTCCCTCCCTTACTTTATAAAGAATCAAGGAATGTCATTCTTTTCTATCTTGAAATTATTTTTGATCAAGAGGTCCTATGTCAAATATATGTTTCTAGCAGGAATCATATATTCTCTCAAGAAGGCCTTCTTAAAACTCATTATCAGGTACATTTTAAGCATAATTAAGGAAGTAAGAGTATCTTAGGAATAACTACCTAAGACAGCACCCTACTATTGGTAAGGTAGTACATGAAGGTAGTTTTCTTCTACTTTTAAATTGGCAAAAGCAGGCCGATCAATAGTGTCTCTCTCTCTCTCTCTCTCTCTCTCTCTCTCTCTCTCCCTCTCCCCCCCCCCCCCCAAGCCTCCTTCCCTCCTCTCCCACTCTCTCTTTTTCCCCCATACCACCCACCTTCAATTTAGCTCCTCTTTCTCAGGCTCTAGATCTCCTAGTTCTCACTAGGAGGGATTCTCACTAGTTCCTCTTATTGCTAGTTTTCTACCCAACCCCTTTTATTTCTTAGCCTCATAACCTGTTTCCCCCTTATTTATCCTAAGTCTAACCAAGAAACTCACAAGGCCACAATAACTCTAGCCCTACAACCATTACTCTTGTCTGCCTCTTCAGTATGTGGTTTCCTGGCTCTTCCAGACCATCTGCTATAAAGTAAACATCAATCCTATGTACTCTCACTCTGCTGCCTACATAATAAGAGTGCTGGTCACTGAGGCTAAAGAGACTAACCTAAAAAGAGCTAAAAGAGCTGAAAGGAGCTTCATATTTAGGAGACTGGGGCAGGTGAAGAAAAAAATTTAGTGAGAAGAGTGACACTGTTTCACATTTTCACAAATGTGTTAATAACTGGCTTAAAAGAAGATATCTGAATTTTCGGATGTCCTTCTGCATTCTATTCTGCAATCTGCTGCTATTCCTTTAAAGTATATGAAGAAAATTAAAATTCAACCTTGCATAGACATGTAATTGTTAAAAGGAATATTTTAATAGTGTTTTAATATAATTCCTCTGATTCTACACCAACATTCAACCAGTGGTTGCAATTTAGAATCTGATATCTCATGAATGAACTTTTCATATCTGCTCCATTAAAGTCCATAGGCCTATGGAGTAGGCAGTCTCTAAGACTGCTCCCAATTATCTCTATCTCCTGATATTCATAACCTGTGTGTGGATAACCTGAGTATGAGCAGGATCGAATAGAATGTGGCAGAGGTGATAGGATTGGATGGTATGTCACTTCCAAGATTAGATTTAAAAAGATGGTGGTGGCTTCCATTTGGGAAGCCCTCTCTGGCTCTCTCATTTGTTCTTTGATAGGGACCTGATGTCTCCAACCAACCAACAGCCACATGAGTGGGCTCAGAAAGAGAGGTCTTTCTCTATTCAAGCTATGAGATGAGTGTAGCTCAGTCTGATACCTTGATTATACCCTGTGAAAGACACTAACCAAAGGCACCTGGTTAAGCTACACCTGGATTCCTAACCCACAGAAACTGAGAAATAACAAACGTTTGTTGTTTCAGAATGCTAAATTTTGGAATAATTTATTACACACCAGTAGATATCTAATCTCTCTATATACATATGCAATCCAATATGAGTAGATCTTTTGCCTATGTACAGTTTTATAACATCATGTATTGATCTTTTGGAATTATCTGTCCAGTCCTAGCCGGTTTGGTTCAGTGGATAAGAACGTTGGCCTATGGACGGAAGGGTCCTGGGTTCGATTCTGGTCAAGAGCACATACCTTGGTTACAGGCTCCTTCCCAGCCCATGCAGGAGGCAACTAATCGATGTGCTTCTCTCACATCGATGTTTCTCTCTGTCTTAATCTCTCTCTTCCACTCTCTCTAAAAATCAATGACAAAATATCCTCAGGTGAGGATTAACAAAAAAATAAAAGTAAAATATGTTCACTGAGTTACGCAAACAATTCAAATATTAACCATTTCATTATGCAATATTTTAAAAATCACCATTTTAATGTCACCAATAATCTCATCAGAAAGTCTTTAAAAAAGCGAGGCACTATTAAGCTCACAATCATGGATATAAACTTTCTAAATTACAATTTCTGATTAAAAACTTAAAAAAAAAACCTCAACTGAGGATATTCTTTCCATTGATCTTTATTTTTTTTTAAAATATATTTTATTGATTTTTTACAGAGAGGAAGGGAGAGGGATAGAGAGTTAGAAACATCGATGAGAGAGAAACACCTCCTGCACACTCCCTACTGGGGATGTGCCTGCAACCAAGGTACATGCCCTTGACCGGAATCGAACCTGGGATCCTTAAGTCCGCAGGCCGACGCCCTATCCACTGAGCCAAACCGGTTAGGGCTCCATTGATCTTTAGAGAAAGAGTGGAAGGGAGGGAGGGGGAGAGGGAGGGAGGGAGGGAAGGAGAGAGAGAGAGGAAGAAATATCAATGTGAGAGAGACATACTGATTGGTTGGCCCCCACATGTGTCCCAACTGGGGCTGGGGATCAAACTTGCAACCAAGAGACATGTCTTTGATCAGAAATCAAACCCAAGACTCTTCAGACTAACATTCTAACCACTGAACCAAACCGGCCAGGGCTCTGCTTGAAGCTTTTTTAAAAAAATTACTGGTAACAAATAATATCAGTTGTTTGCCTTGAAGCAATAACAGGCTTTGTTTATATTTTTAAAAATGTCTGTCCAATGCCTAAATCTAAATAACCATAGTCTGTCCAAAGGAAAAAAAATAAACAAATGGACTATATCAAACTAAAAAGGTTTTGCACAGCAAAGGAAACCAACAACAAAACAAAAAGACAATCTACTAAA